CTGTAAAAAACAATCAATTAAATTCTGTGTATATATCAGTAATATCCATCTCAGTAATAATATAAATCAGTAATATCATATCTATATTCCTATATATCTCAGTTATATCAGATATCTATCTCAGTCTGTTTAATTCTGTGTATCTCAGTAATAATATAAATCAGTAATATCATATCTATATTCCTACATATCTCAGTTATATCAGATATCTATCTCAGTCTGTTTAATTCTATATATCTCAGTAATAATATAAATCAGTAATATCACATCTATATTCCTATATATCTCAGTTATATCAGATATCTATCTCAGTCTGTTTAATTCTATATATCTCAGTAATAATATAAATCAGTAATATCATATCTATATTCCTACATATCTCAGTTATATCAGATATCTATCTCAGTCTGTTTAATTCTATATATCTCAGTAATAATATAAATCAGTAATATCACATCTATATTCCTATATATCTCAGTTATATCAGATATCTATCTCAGTGTGTTTAATTCTATATATCTCAGTAATAATATAAATCAGTAATATCACATCTATATTCCTATATATCTCAGTTATATCAGATATCTATCTCAGTCTGTTTAATTCTATATATCTCAGTAATAATATAAATCAGTAATATCACATCTATATTTCTATATATGTTAGTTATAGATCTGTTCATTATCTATCTTAGTAATGTAAGTATTATATCTATCACATGTGAATTCTGTTTCATTAAAATTTGTCCAGTATCTGGTATATTAAGGACACATGGCACAGTAGATAAAGGCATTGGTTAGATCCAGTGACAGGATGCAAAGAGTTGTGTGTTCAATACCTGGTTAAGGCAGTGGAGAACTTGGTGAGGGGAAATAACTGACATCCATTAGACATGGCACGTGGAACTAGAACAGTCTAATAAAGGGTTCAGTTTGACATTCCAACCACCTGAAGAAGACTGGAGTGTACAACAGCCGAAACGTTGTGATAAATATGGCAACAAAGATGAGGTCGATAGTCCAAATAATGTAAATGGTGTAAAATTTGTTCATATTGATCTGTCTGTCAATCCCACACACAACTGAAATTACGGTATTATCATCTAAAGCATATTCTTGTTACAGCATGATGCCCTATGAGGCACCTGCAGAATCATTGTCAATTATAGAAACGGTGATTTTTGTGTTATAAAATGAACAGCTCAAAATTAGCCATTTATATTCTTCTTATATTCATACATATGAAGGGTTGCTGAAATGTTCTTGTCTGAAGTCTCTAACAGGTACTACCAGGGTGGACCTGTAAACAACAGCAGTTAAGAGGTGGTTCTATGCTCCCAAAAATCTCCAATCTCTCGATCAGAGGCCTTGCTGCCAGATGTAGTTTATCGTCATACACAGGATGAACAGGTTTGATGATAACTGAATATTTGATCAAAAGCCAACAATGTACCCAGTCTTATCTTCCCTGCCTCTTAAATAGGAATACAGGTTTATCCCTTGTTTCCTGTTTAGGATTGAATTTCTGATTCCTTCTCCTAAAGTCTTTTTTACTCTCAGTAACCCCTTGCTTCTTAGTAACATTATCACCTTGCTTGGGGCAAAATGTTGAAAAAAAAATGTACTCAGTGGTGGTTAGGGCTAATTCTGTGTATCACTTGAAAGTTTTGGAATCAGTTTATATTAAGTCCTACCAGACATCTCTTTGTAAGCAGAATGAGTAATTAAATGAAATTAACTTTTAAATGTTATCTTCTTGCATATAACATTTGTCTCTGATTTATCCTCTGATGAGAGTGGACTGATAAACTAGTTTATGTGTCTTTTTTTTATTGTTTTAAATGTTAATACTTAATTGTAACAAATATATTTTTTGCCTCCATTTTTTTTTTCTGAATTCTTTCTTTTTTTTGTTACAAATAGTCTTTTAGTCACTTTTTATTGCACTAATAATATTGTGTAATAATTGATTTATTTATTTCAGAAGGACAACCTAGGATATCATAGGTAGTATAAATAATTACTAATGATGAAATTAGTGCTAAGAGTAACAAATCCCAAACAGTGATTTCATTTTTTTTTTCACCTGCCAAATGATTGTCAATTTCATATTTTTCTCTTTTATTTCCAGATGGTGGTGACTTTCACAAAATTTGGAAAGAACACTGTCAGAATGGGCAATTACTGACTGAATATGCTGATGCCATGCACCACCTTGCAACAGACCATTGGGCTGAGTTACCTCAAACCAGGATCACTTGGTGCCAAGAGGTGGCTCTTGATTTCTTTCTTAAGGGTGGGTTGCAACGAGCCCTTGAGAAGGAAGAACGACGAAAATTTCACTTCTCTAAGGGAGAAGGTTCTAAGCAAAGTAGCTCTTATGAGAATCCCCTTCTCCAACATGCTTCTGCCATTCCTGATCCTGCAACAGGAGATCAAATGAACAACTCAAGTCTGGTCGCTAGTGGAATGCAGAATAAACGTCATTCTTTGGACACTGTGTAAGTACAAATATCCATCTTATTTTTCTTTGTGTGAATTTTCTATTATTCCTGACATTGCCTGTGTCCAAATAACTTCAAGGAGAATTATTAATCTTTTGACAATTTTTTTTTTGCCAATTCCACATTTAACATTTTCCACAGAAAAAATATCTCCAGTGAGAATAATAAATTAAAATTAAGTGGTGAGAAGATATTTATTCATTTTAAACAAGAGTGTATCCATTGGATTCTTAATCCTAAACTATTTACCATATATACTTGTGGATAAGCTGACTTCATATATAGTGCAACCATTGAATACTGGGGTAATCATTTTTAACTCCTCGAGAAAAAATTTACCTTTGTATAGTGCAATCCGTCACTGAAAATACATCATTTTTAAAAAAATTACCTGTGTATAGTGCGGCCATCTATTTTTTGTATAAAAACTGATCATAAAAACTCATATTATACTCAAGAATATACAATATAGTAAAATTTCCCAGAATATTTCTGTGGATAAGACAAATTGGTATAAGAATGACAAATGGAAAAAATCTGATGCATTTTGTCTTTTGGATTTAATGTAACTATAATATTGGTTGTACTTGAATCTATAAATAGATATAAGTTGTGTTTAATACGCAAGTCTAAATGTTGGTCGATTTATACTTGAATCTATATAGTATAATTGCCAGAAACTGTTTTCTTAAGACAAATTGGTATAAGAATGATAATTTTATTCATCTTCATTTTTTTTGCCGACACATTTTTTTTTTCAACTTTATCAAAGCAAAAATAGAAAGCTTTTTTTTTTTTTTCAGAGTTAAAATCCAAAAGACAAAAAAATCTTTTTTCTGAATTGTCATTCTTATACCAATTTGTCTTCAATTTTGGAAGTGATTAAAATTATTGATTAATCAAAAACAATAAAGTAATATATATATATATATATATATAGATATATTTATATAGTAAAATTCCCAGAACAATTCTGTGGATAAGACAAATTGGTATAAGAATGACAATTGGAAAAAAATCTGATGCATTTTGTCTTTTGGATTTAATGTAACTATGAAAACAAAAACAATTCACTTTCATTGATTGCCTTGATAATGACAAAATGTGTCTGAAAATGTAACTGACATCGATTAGACATGGCATGTGGAACTAGAACAGTCCACCCCAGCAGGTGAAATAAAGTGTTCAGTTCAACATTCCAACCACTTGAAGAAGGCCGGAGTGTACAACGACCAAAACGTTGTGATAAATATGGCAACAAAGATGAGGACAATAGTCTGAATAATGTAAATAGTGTACATAATATCTCATCTCAGAAATATAGACAGAGACTGTCACTATTTTATCTATCATTAAATGTAATTAGGTTGAATATAATTGCTTAGTGAAGGTGGGTTCAGCTCAATAACAGTCATCTTTTTTATATTATTAGTTGTAACTCTTAGGTTTCCTTTGAATTCTTTCTTAGCCACTGTAATTATCAACACAGTTTGCATGTTTAATAATTTCATTTAGTCATCTGTTCTATTCAAGTCACTGTCTTCATCCAGGAGTATGGGTCCCCGGTAAATGGTTGTCAAGCCTTATATACTTAGTGTTGTATTTTGACTAATGAAAAAGAAATGCATGTAACTTCTTTAACTATCTGTATCTCGCTGGATGTGTGATTCACATTCGATCAGTGTTAACCAGCAAACAATGTGAAGCTGTGAAGTTCTCTGACTTGGATTTCTTATGAATGAAAAACTTGAATTAAGACTTGCCATCTGTTATTTTCTTTATTTACATTATTCGGACTATTGTCCTCATCTTTGTCGCCATATTTATTACAACATTTTAGCCTTGTACGCTCAGGTCTTCTTCAGGTGGGTGAAATATCAAACTGAACCCTTTATTTCACTCACTGGGATAGACTGTTTTAGTTCCATGTGCCATGTTTAATGGATGTCAGTTATCTCCTGTTAATTCCTCTCTCCAAGTTCTCCACTACCTTAACCGGGTATTGAACTCACACTCTTTGGGTCCTGTCACTGGATCTAACTAACACCTTTATTCATCTTTATTCCAACCACCTGAAGAAGGCTGCAGTGTATAACGGTCGAAATGTTGTAATAAATATGGCGACAAAAATGGTTAGTAATCCGAATAATGTAAATAATGTGGCTGACTGCTATTAAGCATGTTGACTTTCATCTTCACTAAGCAATTATATTCAACCTAATTACATTTAATGATAGATAAAATAGTGACAGTCTATATTTCTGAGATGAGGTATGATGTACACTATTTACATTATTCACACTATTGTTCTCATCTTTGTTGCCATATTTATCATGTTTCAGCCGTTGTACACTCCAGCCTTCTTCAGGTGGTTGGAATATTGAACTAAACCCTTTATTTCACTCACTGGGGTGGACTGTTCTAGTTCCACATGCCATGTCTAATCGATGTCAGTTATCAGTTAACTCCTGTTAATTCCCCTCTCCAAGTTCTCCACTGCCTTAACCAGGTATTGAACTCACATTGTTTGGGTCCTGTCACTGGAGCTGACCAACACCTTTATCCACTGTACCATGTGTCCTTGTTATTTTCACCTTTATCCATCTTTTGTTTTCTTTTTTTTTTTGTTTTTACTAAATACCACATTACTTTTGCATGTAAAGAGTCATATATAAGAATATATCAGCCCAGACATATTGAAAACAATAAAGATGAAGACAATCATTCAAAATTACAAATATCCACTTAGTTTTTATTTTTGCGTTGATTTTTACTCACTAGAAGCTGCCAGTGACCTTTCTCTTTTAACCTTTAGCATTCTACATTATTAATATGACTTCCCTTTCTATTGCATTCCTTTTCAAGGCCTCTCAGTTGTAATATCCTTATTGTTAATTTCCCTCAAATGTATTTTCTGTTGCCAAAGCAGGATATGACAACACATCTATGAAATTCAAACACACTATTTTTAGGGATCAGAGTCACCTTCAGTGGCAGGATAACCTTTTTTTTACAGCAAATGAAGTCATGTGCAATGTTTATTTATTCTTTGCTGTTCTAAGCTTTTCATAATGAACTCCCTTGTCATAGACCGACATTATAGTATGGACTGAAGAAGTATTTATCTCTATAGGGAAAAGGAAAAATTATATTTGATTTCATTCGTTTACTCCAGTCCCTCCCCAATGGCAACTTATTTTTGACATTTATTTTCTAGTCACCTTAAATTCATTGCACTAACACTCAGCCATATTCTTAAGTGCTGCTCATTAAGAAATGTCACATCATGATTTCATTAGCTAGATGCATTTCTCAAAGATTTCATTATTAGTTTATGAATGAAATTAATACAATTCCAGTGACTTTGACATTCACAAATAAAATTACTTGAATCTGATCTGGTTTTTCCAAAAAAGTGAAAGGAAGCGATAATGATAATATTAGCCATTTCCTTACAAGGAAAGATTTGGCATTTATTGACTGATTAGCCAGTGCTTATTTCAGTTGAAATTTATAAAATCTTTCTCTTAAAACATGTTTTTTTAGCAAAACAGGTTTCTCAAGTCCAGTAGCTTTTATCCTTCTTTCCAGTATTGATGGAGGTTTCCTTCCTAACCTTTTAATTGAAGTAGTATGGAAAGTCAACATCTAGATTATGGAATTATTTTCGCTTTCAAGTTGTATATGCTATCCATTTTAGTTGTTTCTGTTCTCAAGTGATATGGTTTCTGTTATTTGCTACAGTTCTTTGTTTGTGATTCTATAACATCAGTCCAGAATGTTCAAAGGAGGATGATCTTTGCCAAGACCCACAGGCTTTACTTGCTCAAAACCTTTTTCACCATTGATCTTAGAAAGTGGTTGAATACAGCTGACAGTTTAGACATTTCTGAACCAGTGGTGTAGCTAGTGTTCTTGCAACCCAAGGCAGCCTTCAAGTTTGCCAACCCTACCCAGACGGAATACAATATATTACAATGCACATTAACCCATTAAAGTTTTTTTATATATATATATATATATATATATATGTATATATATATATTAAGAAATGGACAAAGTCCGACAATTTATTTATTAAAGACATTTTTATGTTTAACGTTCTTTTTTATAGATACAAGTATTTAAGTAAATGCTCTGTTTATAATAAACAGTATTAAATAACATTTACCGCCTGAATGTCCGAGAAATTTTCATAGAAAATATTCGTTCTTTTGACAGGATTCGAACCTGCATCCTATATCCACCATCATTTACGCTGACGTTTCCTTACCAATCGGCTTTAAAACATTGTTCAGTAGACAATTGTCGGACTTTGTCCATTTCTTAATATATGAAGTCATTTGTTTACATTTGATACGCCAGAGCAGTTATGAATGTTTGAGATTCATGGAAGATTGAAGTTTATAAGCAGTAAATTCGACCTTGTCTACCATAACAATTCTTTGTGGCCGATACATTAGGCATGTCAGCATAAATGAAAGGTTCCATCTATAGGATGCAGGTTCAATCCTGTCAAAGAACGAATATTTTCTATCAAGAGGGACAGATGAAAGCAGGACATAACCTACCTCATGAGTTTCAGTAAATGGTTGACACAATAGGGTTTAGGACATATAGCAAGAAGACAAAATTTATTAAGAGCTAGAAAGAACAGGAAATTGTGGAGAGCCACGATCGCCAACATCCTGAAAGGAAATAGCACCTAGAAAAAAAGAAGAATCAATATTTATTCTGTCTAGTCTCTCAGGACCAAATAGAAGTAGGAATATTGTGCTGCACCAGTTGTTCAAGAGGGGAGTATATGCTTGTTGTAAAATATTATAATCCCAAATCTTGGATTTTACTTGACTTACAAATTTGTCCTCTGGAGCTGAGAAAAACTATACAACTGCCTCAGCCATCATAGCAGCTCAAAAGTTAAAGAACAAAAACCAAATTCAGTGTCAGATTTAAAAAAATATGCAGCGTATCAGTAAATGATTTTTTAAATTTCA